AACCGGTACAATAGAGGAACTAGCTGAGAACATTAACAGTTTTTTCGTTAATTTATCATCAGATTTCCAACCCCTTGAAGACGATCCGAACTATCAAGCCGAATGTACACCCGATATGCTCGTTGACCCGTATACAGCGTATTGTGCCTTGAAGGAGGTTAAATGTCATAAATCAGTTGGTCCTGATGAAATTCCTAATAGGATACTTCGAGACTTTGCTTTCGAATTATCCCCAGTGGTGTCTGACATTTATAACAGTACTTTGAGACAAGGAAAAATCAATTGTCTCCTCAATAAAGTCATCAATTGTCTCCCCAATACCTAAGTGTTTGCCACCCAAGACAATCGAGGACGACCTTCGTCCAATATCTCTGACACCGCAGATAGCCAAAGTAATGGAAGGCTTTACTTTGGAACCCTTACTGGCTGATATTGGCGACCAGATTGACCCATATCAGTTCGCGATGAAAGGCCATTCTACAACACAAGCATTAGTCTTTTTACTACATAATGTCCTGGAGACCCTTGACCGAGGTGGTTCCTCGGCTCGCGTATTTTTCGCTGACTTTAGTAAAGGTTTCGATTTAGTTGATCACGGTGTCCTAACTGCTGAATTAGAGAAATTGAAAGTACGCCCCGCTGTAGTGGGATGGATTCGAGCCTTTTTGACGAGAAGGAATCAATGTGTTCGCATTCGCGATAAGATGTCCTCGTTTAAATTAAGTGTCTTAATGGGGGTATACCTCAAGGTACCAAATTAGGCCCTATCCTATTTGCGGTGCTGGTAAATAGTCTACTTCGTGATTGGAATTTCAGAGTCAAATTCGTGGACGATCTAACAACTATCGACTTTATCCCAAGATGTTCACTGAGTGTAACTCCCTTGCTGGTCAATGACATCTACGATTATGCCTCTACAAGGGGCATGCGATTAAACTCGAAGAAATGCATAGAAATGATAATTAATTTTCTCCAATACAGATTACAATTCCAAGATGTATTACAGGTTGGTGGGAATACAATTGAAAGAGTATCATCATACAAGTTACTTGGTGTTTATTTGAATAACGATCTCTCATGGAATCTACACTGTGACTATATTACTAAGAAAGCTAATAAGAGACTCTATATACTGCGTATATTACGGAGAGCAAGGATTGGGTATCAACAACTTGTAACAGTATACTGCAGCTTAGTCAGACCAATCCTCGAATACGCTGCCCCTGTTTGGTCTGCTATTCCGGACTACTTAAAAACTGCTAAAGTCGAGAGAGTCCAAAAGAGAGCCCTAAAAATAATTGACCCCGAATCGTCATTTGAAGAGTCGATGCAGAAAGCTGGTCTCCAAACGTTGGTTAAAAGACGAGGAGAGATCTGCAAAAAGTTTGCTAAAGACAATAAATCATTTGGTCCGCTTAAAAAACTCTTCAATTACAACCGTGTTCGGATAAATCATGAATATAACTTACGACATCTAAGCGAATCTAATGGTTCCAATTCCATAAATACTGATAAATTTTAAAATTTTATAACTTGTAAATATTGATATCTTCTAACATGTAAAAATATGTAACTTGACAGATTTTTAAAGATATAGTTATTCTTGATAATTTATGTATTAACTTGTAATTCAGCATTTGCTGCAATAAGTTTTTTGGAATAAACCTATTATTATTATTAATAGACCTCACTCTGGAGTTCAAAAGGATGCCGCCAATGACGTCACTTTGTTCAGATGGCAATCTGGTGGCAGAAGTAATTAGTTTTCAAAATCTATGACGTCACTTTGCTGGGCAAGCCTGGGCCAAATGTGACAGGTAACGCTACCAAACACAAAAAGGTAACACGCGACCAACTAGAATCACAATAGAGTAACGTTTAAATATTGCTAAATCTTTCGGGAACTTTTTCCGAAAAAACGTTTCCATGCGTTCCTATCTTTTTTCTTTCTCAGTCTATATCTTCGGAATTTATCAGCCAATGTATTTTCACAAACTAACGTGTTGTGTTGCTATGTGTTGCTAAGTCATTAGGCGATAGGTATACAAACGTTAAGGTAATTAAAGGATTAGGCGAACAGGAATTTGCATAGGTAGGGATATCATACCTTTACGTGTTTGGGGTGAGCATAAGTCAAGCAAACTGTAATGCCTTGGTGGCCGAATGGTATGGCATTGGGGTCTGTCTCAAAATAAGGGAGTTCGAGTCCCTCACATGGCAAAATTTTTATCGAAATTATATAATATATAGCAGAGTTATAGCTCGGAAGAGATAAGTCGCGAAAAGCAGATAGATTTATTACGCGGGCGTAGACCTTAAAATCGGGCGCGTGGCTTTTGCGGGCATAAACTTGCACAAGCATTTAGATTTAAAACGCATCTATTTCTTCAAAACGTTTACAAAGTTATGCTTCTAATATATATCGTCACGTGTTTGAGAAGTTTCGCCATCCGATTCATCGTCGTGGCTGCTTTCATCTTCCGTAATCCATTTGGTACGTCTTGGGACTGCTAGATGAGAACACAGTTTTAGCCTCTTTGTAGTTGATAAATTACTGCGTTGGCCTTGCCTTCTCTTGCTTCCGCGACCTACTTGATGAAGTAGGGCCTCTGCTCCTTGTTTGGCAAAATCTCTGACAGCCTCTCCGCCGTGAGTCTTTACAGATTCTCTAACATTTTTTCCTTCGAGCACATCTTGACCGACTTCTCTTGCAGCTTGTAATGCTCTTTTGCCAAAGCTTTAGCAATTTGTTTGAATAGAGGGATAGCATATCTCGCAAGGCTTTTAAAAATTCCAC